ACTGAAAATATTTAGTTTTGGATATTTCTGTTCTAATTGTTGCTGGTTTGCCTCCACAGAATTAGAAACTTGGAGGTGATTATCCCAGTGGGCAACAGGCTAAGTCCTTTTAGAAAACATCCCTCTTTCCCATGCTGCTGCCCTGGTGGCGATGCCAGAAATGGCACAGTGCCCCCATGTGCAGGTTCACCTGCTGGGGTGGTGGAGACAGTGCTGTCCCAACAGTGGGATTGTGGGCATGGCCAGGCCTAGGTACAAGCAAGAGAGAGTGTACTATCTGCAGAGAATTTATAAAGGACAATAATACCCAATTAAAATTGTTCTGCTTTTATTATCACCATGTGCCAGGAATTCTAAACAATTTTGATGATACAAGACTCCTTCTGTGCAATATTTGTCCTTCTGTCCCTGGCTTATTTCATAAAGTGTAATGTCAAACACATAGAAGCAGAGAATACAATGACGATTTCCAGGGAAGTGAAGTGTTGCTGTTCAACTGGTATAAGGCTTCAGTTACACAAGGTGATTAAATTCTAGAGATCTGCTGTACAACGTTGTGCCTATAGTTAACGGTACTGTATTGTACACATAATATTTTGTTTAAAGGATAGATTTCATGCTAAGTGTTCATACCATGGTAAAAAGAAATCTCACCAGTTCATTTTGCTGCACATTGAGAACCAATCATCAAAACAAAAGGGTCAGATGTCACTGTGATGTTTATACTGTATTTTCAGAAAATTTTTACTTGTGGTTATTTCACTTATATTATTCATTAACATTTCTTAATGATGTACACTTTTTTTTTGAGACACATTTTTTGAAATGTTGCTATGTACAAAACAAACCAGTCATAATCATACAGCAGTTTCTAAGATTTTTTGCAATAATATAAAATAGTCATCATAATGGTTCAGACCATATTCCTTAGTTTTGACATTACTGTAAACGTCTACTATCCTAATCCAGTGGACTTAGCCTTACCATAAATCAAGCATATTGACATAGCTACTCAACACAAAAACCCTTTGAACTTCAGCTCCACTGGCCTATTTGCTTACACAAAGGGTTTTAAATCAATAAATCATTCTTATCTTTATTAAAATAGGTTTTTTCTTTACAAGACATGTAAAGTCTAAAAAGCTTCTGTTGTTGGCAAAATCCATAAATGCATAATATAGTTGGACTTGCTTCAATGAAAGATATTAGACTAAGATTAAAATTGTTCCCTGGCACGCAGACAAATGAAAGGGGAGGGCTGTGGGGCTCTCATGAGGGTCCCTGAATACCCAGCGTGGAAGACAGTTCTCCAGCAGGCGGTGTGCGGGAGCTGGACTGATGTGGGTGAGTTGCAGTAAAAGGCCTGGGCTGAGGAAGCCCTGTGGGAACAGCAAGCAAGAAGGAAGGAGAGAGGATGGCGACAGCTCAACCACAGGTGCCGTCCCCCACAGCCACCTGGGGATGGACTCCTACTGACCAGGTCCTCGGAGCTCCAGAGGCCTCAGTGCAGGCCATTGGGAAACGTTTTGGTGGGGGCAGGAAAGTAGGACCACATTTCCCCCTGTGAAAACCCTTTCTGTGCAGAGAGGAAGTGGCCTAGCAGTGTGGCAGGTTGACAGCTGGCAGTGTGTCTGGGAGGGCTGGACATCTGAAGGTTGGGAGAAATGCTCAGTCTTATTTCAAGAGACAGTGTCTCTCAGAAATGTCCCACCTGTTAGCGCTCTGGCCGCCAACTGAGTAATAAATTCATTGTAGCCTCATTCCTGGCTCTTGTCACAAATAGGTCATAGAACATGTTCTGGTTGCATCACAGAGTCACCTTCTTTTCTGACCGTGAAACTTGAAAAATGGGGATTTCAATGACACCAGCATCCATGGACATTGTGGATAAAAAGAGAGAGAGAACTTAGGAAGAATACTAATGTGCACCCACCAGAGACAGGCTTAATGCAGGGTCTGCCAAACCGAGTTCAAGGACATCACACCTGTGCCTGTGATCTACCTATTCCAAGGAGACAAAGGGCTACAGAGCAGGGAAGCCTGGGGCCACTGCAGGTGAATTTATGATGGTGTCTGGGTGGCAGCTCTGTTCAGGCTGTTATTATATAAGAGCACATAGTGGAGGAACTAGTCCAGTCAGGGATTTAAGAAAATCAACTTGCAGGAAATGACTTATAAATTGGTATAGAAGGAATCATTAGCTAGGCAGCCAGGTGAATGCCAGCGAGAGGAAGGGTGCTCTGGGTACAGTGACCATGGTAGATGAAGACTAAGGCGTGTGTCAGCATAGGACTCACTCGGAGCTTGAGAAAAGTGGGGTATTTCTGGAGATAGTGAAGCAGTTGTGGCAGCTGGAGGGAAGGGGAAGTCGTTGCTGGGACGATGGGCAGGTATACAGAGGCCACATCACGGAGGGTGTCGAGAGACTTGCAAACCGACATAAACTCGAGACTTTACCTAGTTAATGGAAAGACACCAAAGGGTTCTAAGCTGCAGAAAGTGCTTGTGGGAGGGGGCAGGCAGCAAGCTGGCAGGTAGGGTGACTACTTAGAAGGTGGCTAGAGGAATCCGGGTGAGAGGTGACCTTTGCTGCACCATAGTATTATCAGTGAAGCTAAAAAAACCAGTAAAATATGTGAGGGATTTAATGCTTAGAAACATGCAGGGTGGGGTGATGGGTTATTTGTGGAAAGAGAGTGTCAGGGAGACAGCGAAGGTCACTTCTGCATCTGTGGCTTGGGCATTTGGATGATGGCAGGACCACCTGCTGAGGTGCAGAAAATGGGAGATGCTGGATTTAGTAAACAGCTCAGAACATAGTGTTCCCCTAAGTGACAAAACATCCAAGAAAGGACCTGGAATACAGGACCAAATTTTGCTGAGAGTGGTTGAATTGGAAAGGGAAGCTTCAGTTTGGGCAACAGCTCGATTGAATGTAAAGACTGAAGTTTCACAGGGAGAAAGGATTGAAGGGTGGCACCTGGGCACAGTTAGCTTGTCCTGCCCGAGCTTTGAGAGCCTCCTGGTTCAGCAGGTGACAGGACGGCTGGCCCATGGTGGCCCCCACTGCAGGGCGGCTGCCTTGCTCAGAGGCCCGGGGGCTGGGAGTGGAGAGGGGGTTCTCTGGGGTGGTGGGGACGTTTTCCCTCTTGGTTGGAGTGGGGCCTGCTGAGGGAGGAGCCTCCCTGCTCTTGTGGCGGCCCTTTTTGTGCAGAAGGCAGCTGGCTGTGCAGCGCTGTGGATAAGCTGCTGGCACAGAGGTACAGCGCCGTCTGGCTGGTGCGCGTGGACTCCACGTTCAGGGAGAAGCTCGGCTTCTCTCTCCGAGAGGCAGTGTAGCCGTCAGGAGCGTCTCCCTTAGTCACAAACTCCACCTTAGCTGAATAGTAGATCAGCTTTAGACCCAGCCCTGGGTCTTGTCGATACCAGGACATGTATTCATGGTTCATGTTCTGAGAACAGGTCACTGTCACATTCTTTCCAGTCTCCGTGATGCGGTTTCTCGGAGTCTGGGTCACTTGGGCTTCCACGGGGCCTGTGAGGGAAGGGGACAGAGCTAGAGACAAGGCCGAGGGGGCACTCGATGCTGCAGCCTTTAGGAGAGGACTGGAGCCTACGAGAAGAGGTCAAGGGTCGCCCGTGTGTTCTGGGACTCACCTGCTCCCAGGAGGCAAAGGACCACACAGCCAAGGAGCCGGGGGCCCATGGCAGCGCCAGGCAGGTGTCTGCCAGCTCTGGGGGCTCTAGCTGGCTTCTGCGATGTCTCCACCTCTTCAGCTACTCGGGCTGCAGAGTTCTCGGGAGAGAAACCACTCCCCTTTCCTCAGAGGGCTGAGGCGTGCCACGGCAATGCCGGCGACTCAGGCGGGACATTTGTGATCAGTGTCATTTTCCTTAATCTCTTCGAGGCTGCTTGTCCTCATGCATGTGCTGTGTTTTCTTATTAATGTCATCTTGTAAAAATTGTCAAATATTTATGTATTTTGGATCTTTATGGTATTAATGGGTATACCATATCTGATTATCACTTAGCAATGTGAGAACATGAGGCTTATGCTATTATGAAAACTGCATTTTCGTTTTTTTTGAAGTCATTTCTTCTCTGCAGAAAAAATTCCAAATATTTTTTGACTTTGTCTATCCACTGATATATTTTTCAGTCACTACTCTTGGAAAGAATCTAAGGCATTAAATCTCAGCCAGATTCACATCGTGGATTATTTTACTCTTCCGTATGTAGTTCAAATCCTAGACACGCAGCTTCTTTGCTCGTTAGTAGATTAGACTTAGCTGTCGTTGCTGGAACTGCCAGCTGCGTCCCTCAAGGGTGGCATCTGGCATATCTTTCTTCTTTCCCTCTTCTGTCTCTTTCTGCAAAGGAGGCTGGTGAAAGGCAGAAGCAATATCTGCTTCCTTCAGTAACCTCATTATTTTCACCAGCCAACTCCTTCCTTGCCTGCTTCGGGTACGCTTTGCTTTCTTGCCCCTCCTCCATATGTTGGTTTCGGCCCCTGGAGATTGTGCTGGGCCAGGCAATGTTTTCTCTGCCATGGAGCCATGTCATGGGGAACTCATTTGGGGACAGGGGCATCGAGCTTCTCCTCTGAGCTCCTCCAGCAGCTGCAGGGATTGCCCGCTTTGCTGTCTAAGGGTGTCCTTCCTGCACGGAGGTGACGTCCTGGGGTTCCCTAGAGTGTCTTCCCTCTTGAACACTTTTGAGCTTTTATTTTTTTCTTTTTAAATTCTTTTTATTAAGGTATAGTTGATAAATAAAAATTGTATGTATTTACTGTACACAATGTGATGTTTTGATATACGTGTATCTGTGAACCTTTCTTACACTTTGTAGACACCAAGGCATTCCTGGGAGGGGGGAGGGAAGGAGGCAGCCACACTCCTCTTAATTGCTTCCAACCACAGCTAGAGCTTCACAAAACCCTTCAGTGTTTTGCCAAATCATTATCCTCTCCAGGCAAGAAGCGGGCCCTCATCCCAGTTTTCAGGGCTACCCTCAAACCACAGGGAAGGCTTTCTTGCCCTCCCCTGTCCCTTCATGGTGGATCACGCAGCTCTTGATAGTTTTCGTTCCACGTGAGTGAGGGAGGGGTGGTCGCTAACGCTCAGGATCTAAGGAGGAGTGTTCTCTCACTTTGTATTACATTTCTATAGCATTCCTTTCGGGAAAAGAATGCGGGAGACCGTGTTTCAAATATGTCCATCCTTCGGGTAGTGC